AAAGCAAATATGAATGCAAACATTAATATTCCAGGGTCCAGCTGCCTGTCCCTGAGGAGATGATAGAATCAGAATAGGTTATTGTGTTCCCCATTTGCCCTCTGAACAAAATTTGTGCACCAAACACACCCACATGTGCCCACCTGCCAGGATCTCCATGGAAACCTGTCATCATGACATTTCAGATGGCAAAAGCTCAAAAACAGAGTGCTATGCTTTAGCCTGCTTCTCAGTGAGCTGTGCGTGACAGCATACGGCCTGACATCAAACAGATTATCTTTAGACATGAGTAATCTCATTTTATGCAGTTTGTTGTGGATGGCGTGCAAAGACCTTTGATAAATGAGATTCATGGTCAGCTTTCATTTTGCACAGTATTTTTTTTGGATTTAAGGTGGATCACTCTAGCTTGGCTTAAAAACAAACCCAAACCAGATGCATGTCAGTCTGCCTTGATAGTTTAATGTGTTTTCACGACCCTGTAGTGTTTTTGAAAACCACTAACATTTATTATGAACAGTCCATTAAACAACATTAAGATATATTGATGAAAATTAGTGTTTTAAAAGAGAGAGTTCTCTAAAATGTTTATCATAATTAACTAATTACCTAATTTCATAATGGTTATTGTTATGTTATTTACCATTATTCAAATTCTAAAAAAAAACAGGCAAAATTATCACAATAGAGAAGACATTCAATCAGAAAAATAAGGTGGTACTTTCGATGAGCTTCCATCATTCATTAATTTTTTAAGGATTAATATTTATTGTTTTCGGAATTATATCATACAGCATTTGGAATTAATGATAAGAAGAACTCCTGCATGCCAATAGTAGTAAAATATACATAATGATTTTCATTTTCAGCATACAGAAATAGTGAGGCAATGTCACCAACAGTCATAACATCAGATCACCGCTTTGTCTCTACAAAAAACAACTGGTTCCCAAAGAAAAAAAGAATTATCAAAAATATTTAAAAGTGTATTAGTGCATTTTGGCCAATGTCCAACTATTCACCAGCCAAATTATGAGTGAAAGTTCACATATGGAGAACGTGCAACCATTTCTTCCTGGTTACAGCAGAGCCTGCAGCCCCTCCCTGTCTGCACAGGACCCAGGGCTGGGGTTCACTCTGGACAGGACACCAGTGCCTAACAGGACCCAGGGCTGGAGCTCACTCTGGACAGGACCCAGCGCTGGAGTTCACTCTGGACAGGACACCAGTCCCTCACAGGAACACACAGGCACAATGAAGAATGATGCCAATTAGCTTAACTGGATGTATTTGGACTAATGGAGGCAACGAGATGGACGACTATGGGTTTCCCTGTATTCATACCTTGTTCTGGAGGTCATGGAAGATCCAGTGGATCCATGAAGACAGCGACCTAAGAGCACCGCAGAAGGTGGCTTGGCCTACTGATTAGTCAGGTGAGGTCAGGTTGGGGGGCGTGCGCTGATGCAGCGCGTTGCCGCACCCACCACTCAAATATACACAAACTAATGAATTCATTAAAATTCAATTCATTAAGAAGTATTTTGCACGAGTGGCATGTGGTATGTTTTTACATTCATTTGGATACATATAGACCAAGTGTTTAATTTTTCACTCTAAAGTCTTTATTCACTCAGTAGCCAATTTACTAAGTATACCTGCTTGCTAATGCAGACAGCCTGCCCCACCAAACAGCAAATTAAGTGGCTGCAACTCCATCTATGCAGCATACAGACAGCGTCAAGGGCTTTACTTACTGTTCGGTAAACTATTAGAATGGCTTAGATGCATGATCCACGAAATTCTGAATGTGGTGGGACTGTCAGCGCCGGGAGGACAAGTTCCCCCTTTGCGTCTGGTTAGGGTTAGGGCTTCCTCTGCTGCCCCCTGGAGGACGAGCTCCCTCTTTGGGTCTGGTTACGGTTAGGGCTTCCTCTGCTGCTCCCTGGAGGACGGGCTCCCCCTTTGGGTCTGGGTTAGGGCTTCCTTTGCTGCCCCCTGGAGGATGGGCTCCCCCTTTGGGTCTGGTTACGGTTAGGGCTTCCTCTGCCAGCATCTCAGAAACAGGGCCCCTCCTGGGATGTGCCCAATAGCCAGAGTTTACTGAGAGAGGGGCAATAAACAACATGTCCAGTCAGCGGCACTTCTGTGGCTAAAATGACCTAGTTCATAAGGAGAGAGACCAGTGAATGCCCAGACCCGTTAAAGATTGCAAAAAAAAAAAAATAGTTCGGTAGATATGACCTGATTTCTCTGAACACGTGCCCATGAAATTTTCTTCTCATCTACCACATCTTGCTCTCCATGACACGCATACAGGTGACAGCAAGCTTGGCAGTGATGGAGCTAAAGCATAAGGGCTTTACTTAAGAACCCACAGACTGGTTTGGGAACATCTGTGCACAGGACCGGAAAGCCCTCCAGAAAGTTATCCGGGCAGCTGAACGCTGCTGCAGGTTCGCTCTCCCCTCCATGCAGGACATTTACATCAGGAGATGTAAGACAAGGGCAGCTAAGATTATCAAGGACTTCTCACCCCAATAATGGACTGTTCAGACTCCTGCATTCAGGCAGAAGGTTCCGTGTCATTATGGCCAAGACGGAGAGACTCAGGAGGAGTTTCTATCCCCAGGCAATACGTCTCCTCAATCAAGACAGGCCACTCTCCTGGTCATAATGTTATGGTTATCAGTTCAACCTTAAACTGCTGTGCTGACACTGCACACTGCACTTTTAAAACTGGCTATAAGCATTTTTTTGCACAGTATTTCATTTCATCCTGTAAAATTGTATATACTCTCTTTGTGAATTCATAGGCTTTCTTTTCTTCTGTTTTGCACTCTCTATAATTTATTTACAGTAAATTTTACAATTTATTTTCTAGTTTTTCTTATTTGCACAAAGTTTGAGCGGTTTACGATACATTTCACTGCATGTTGTACCTGTATAACTATGCATGTGACAAATAAAGAATCTTGAATGTATGGATTCTGCCAAAGCTGGGCTCGATTCATCGACCTTCTGATCCCAGGGACTGAGGCTTAACATGCTGACCCACATGCTGTAAAATTCTTCAGCAGCAAAAAAAAAAAACAACAAGACATGATAGTAAATAAAAAAAATGTTAAAAAAAAACATAGAATCTTATCTTTGGTTCAAATCATGTGCAAGTTGATATTTAAAGAGTCCTCTTTACCCTTGACCAAAGTTAAAAACGACCACTATAAGAAAACATGACAGGTCAAAAAGTAATTTAAAAAATATCTGACAATGAACAACCTTATTAACAGAATGGTTGCTGTTGTATGATAATTGCATTTGCAAGGTGAAGAGTATTACGAAATTTTGTTTGTTGAGCATTGGGGTTTTATCATAAAAGAGACTTTCAGAGTATCTTAGAAAACATAGTCTCTAAGACACAAGGTAAGGTTTAACATACTCTTGTGAAACTTAGCAACCTGTGGGCAGTGGTGTCTTAATGGTTAGGGAAGCGCACTTGTAATTGAAAGAGTGGTGGTTCAAATCCCCGACCAGCAAGGCACCACTGAGGTACCCTGAGCAAGGTACTGCCCCCAAGCACTGCTCCCCGGGCGCTGAATTAGCTGCCCCCTGCTATGTCACATGTGGGTTAGATGCAGAAGACACATTTTGTCATGTGCTGTGGAATGTCAACAATGACCACTGATCACCAAATTCTAAAAATGTTGAATAAATGTGCACACAGAGCTCCGTCCCACACGTGTACAGTGAGCTCTCCTCAAGGCGGCACAATCTGAGATTCCCAGGCACAACAAGCAACAAGACACCATGTGACTTGCAACTGCCCCCCATAGTCATATATTACCATGCCAGTTCTTGGCTGTCTAGAAAGGTCACGTGACATCCCCCCCCCCCCCCCCATCCCCCTTCAGGGGTGGGGGAGGGGAAACAGATTGAACCTGTTCTTTGTTAAGAGGTCAGATCCAGCTCACTGGCAGGAAGAGCAATAGTCACCCTCTCTCTAATAGTGGTGCCCATTGAAAATGCTGTAGACGCAGTCCATCTCAAATACAGAATTCTCTTATAAAGTGCACAGATGGACTATTTACAACAGAAGGGAGAAAGCCTGCTTATGATTTAAAATGGTGTGTTAGCAAATACATACATTTCCCATATTTCATATGTTGGTACTTAACACAGTTGCGTTGTGTGTATGTGGCATGTTCTCCCCATGTAGTTGCAGGGTTATTCCCTGCCCTGTGTCTGCTGCTTCTGGGAAACACACATACACACCAGGAAAACATGCAGGCTCCAAGCACCCAGACTGGTGGCAGGATTCAAACCCTCCAAGAGATGGGTGTCAATAGCATAATCCATTAGCCACTCTCCATCCTCTATTGAGAATACAATTATACACTAAAACATCCATATTACCTGACGTCAAGATTCCCTGGCCATAACATTCATGTCATTTGTACAAATAACATATTATTTGTACAAATACAATTTAAAAGCTAATGACAGAAAACCGTGGATTACTAGCATTAAGTTGGTTAGCATTGATCAGACAATTTTAGTCATTCATAAACCAAAAGTTGCATCTCATCATTAAAGCTATTCCAGTTAATTCAGAGAGATCAGATACTTTGAGGAAAAAAACACTCCAAACACTTGTTACTGATATAATTTTCTATGTGGAAACTGCTGCTGCACCATTAGGAAAGGTCCTTAACACCTTGATCGCTCTAGCAAAGTACCTGGGTCAACTTGAATGCCGTGGACAACGTTTTGGATCATTTCGAATCTGAGTTTTCACGTCAGTTCAACGAACAATATCAGAAATAACATTTGGGTTCTTGCATGGAAAACAGACAAAATCGACATTCGACACTTAAGTGATTGCGCTGCAAAAGCCAAACGGACATGTACCTAGTTCGGCATTTGTAGACCGTGCGAATGCGCGACTACTCGGGGGAGTACGGTAGTTGGTAAGGACGTGTCACACTAATGCAGAGCCGTAATGATGTCAACTTGTTATTTACTTTCCAAATCTGAATGACTGGGCAAGCCGAAGGGAGAATTAATCAGCCACAATGTGACCGCGCAGGCGAAAAAAAAAACACGGAGCTCTCAACGCGCAGGGGGTTCGTGGGGGAAGGGAAGTCGGCAGAGGCCAAATACAAGGTAACGTTGCATCATGCTTAGATTTAAGTTATAATGGCTTTTTATAAGCTCATGTAAATGTAAACCTGAATTAAAGGCTTGCTATGTAATGAATTATGGATAAATTATTTGAAAACCAATTAACAGTGTTGCATTTTCACGCTGGACTAGAAATATAACTTACACGCTGTGATTATCAATTCATCGGTAAAACCTGATTTGTCATTTATTTTTGGTTATGTAATGGCTGATAATGGCATATCCAGACCAGTAAATCCCACCTCTTCAAATCGATTAAATGTCACATGTGGTTATTTGTTATCGCAGTTTGTCTGTGGGGACTATTCCTTTGAATTATGCGTCTGAACGCGTTGTTTAACGATAATATTGCGATGATATCAGCAATAGAAATCACCAGCGGCGGTGTATAGGGGTGGGATATATTTTACATAACTTCTGCAGTGTCCTCAGTAATTCTGGTTGTCAGTGGAGTTCAAGTGAGAAAGATGGGGCGCATTTCGCATTACACAAAACGTCAGCAAAGACAAAAGCCAACAGTGATCATTGTCATTAGGGAAACGCCGATTTAATTTCATTTGGTCGCTGCGACGTCTTATTCAAATGCTGTTAATGTTTAAAAGAAAACCTCACTGCCTTCTCGGGTGGAGATACATTTCAGTACAGAAATAGCAATTTTAAGGTCATTTGCTGATTTCCTTTTGTCCCCCCCTCCCCTCCCCTCCCCTCCCAATTGTAGGTCACTGACTGTGCCTTCCGTCTCCCAAAAGTGTCAACTGCACGCTGCAATCGCCCGTAGCTCGAGCATCTGAAAGGAGAAAAAAAAACTCCAGCAATAAATAATAAAGAAACACCCTCCTATTTCCTCACTGACTGGTGTCTGCTACATCAACCGACATCAAAGCCCGGTACTTCCCTCCTTCTGTGCTCCCCCCTCCCCAGTGGATTACGGGCAGCCTGGATTACTCGGGAATCCAACACTGAGCCGCAGCAAGTGATCGGTATGGAAGGAAAGTCTGCACCGGCTTTCTGAAGTTGGGGAGCCGTTTCCTCTCGCAAGTGGAAGCAGAGGCGTTGGGAACCCGAGGCGCACTCTCTCGTTAAGGTAACTAACTTATAAACACCCACCCCCTCCTAAGTTTTCGACACCGTGTTTTTTTCCCATTTAGTCTCAAGACTTTTTGGTGTATTAAGGTTTTATATTATGCATTTTCATAAACGACAGATTTGCTTTCTCTATTCTAACTAAAATACCGTGTGTGTTTGCGCTTTGCAATATATTCAATGAGTATGTATTTTAATTATATAACCTTTAGTAAATGACTTGGCAGTTAACAAGCCAATAATTGCATGTAACTCCTTTACTTTTAATAGGCTTACAGTCTGCATTGGTTGAGTGTAAACACTGAAACGGCGGGTTTTAGTTTTAAGGTCGTAAATGTTTATTTTAGATCAGACAAGGTTTGTGCAAAGTTTCCTGACCATTTTAGATCTCTTGATGCGTTCTAGTTGCTTCCCTTCACGATTATCGTTTCTTTTTATTTTGCCAGTAGAAATATATTGACCCTACGCGTAGTTCAGAGTTTCGAGTGGGGGAGGGACTAGCTTTACTACAAGGGTCAAGCATTGGTCTGTTGGGGGGAGGGGAGGAGCAAAAAAAAAAACGCAAAAAATAACCAATACACAGGTTAACTGTCTTTGTCAGGTCGGTGTTTGGGAGATACCTGATCGTGACTTTGTTTCAATTTAGTTACCTGTTGATGAAGGGTGCGGTGGATCCCATATAATGTGGCTGGTTTAGGAGTGTCTCTGGCACATTAAGGGATCACCCTCCTTTGTAAACACCCTGCAATTAAGACATGAATGTGAAACACAAAACTGTTTATGATGGATGATCACATATTTGTTGTAGTGTTTGCCTTGACGCACATCTGCTAATTGAACGGAATTGTCACTTCACTGTCACTGGCTGCCGGATTATCTGTATGCACATGTTTTCCTCCAGAGATGAAGGTTAGGTGTCTTTCATAAGGGTCCTCTTAATGCTACCTGCATATCCTGCTTTATATCACATTTTTGTGACAGACCTGATTATGCATGTATCCTTGGGGGGTGGTGTGTGGCATGTGGCTCCTTGGGTTAGATGCAGTACCTGTGATCAGAATGTCACTGGTTCGAACCCCACGGCTGGCAGACTGATGTCACCATTGGACCCTTGAACAAGGCTCCTAAGTCCAAATTGCTCCAGTGACTGTCAAACCCTGCTTTGGATAAAGGTGTCTGCTAATTACTTGTGCTAATGTAAATGTGTTTTAAAGGAAACATTTTAAAGTTAAGTTGCATAAATGAAATGTAAGCTAAAGTATAGCTGGTTGATTATTGTGACCCGTGGTCAATTAAGCAACTGAGAAAGCCACAACCTTTCAATGACTGCTGGCTTAGTCTCCGTGGTCTGGAAGGGAAAAGGCGAAAATGGTCAGATGACACCTCTGCAGATGCCACTAAGATCACTGTCGTCTGCACCGTTCCACTGCCCACTCTTCAGATTCTTTACATAACATCACATTGAAACTATTGTACAGGTTTGGTCCATCAACCCAGAAACTCACACTGGCTTTGATACGGATACAGTAAGTGGGAGCCTGTGACCTGTGCTTCTTCAGCTTGGTCAATGAAATGCACAGCTGCTTAGATTGTTTTGTGTAAATGTAGGTATTGCTGAGTTATTACACCGATGTCACCAAACCAGAAGGGCCTGTTCAGTGACCTCAGTGACCCCGCAGCCGTCCAGCTGTGTGTTCAGTTCTCGCAGTGTCCTCCAGCTGCTGTCTTCACCCAGTTGTTTCAGATGTCTGCCTTCTGTGCCCTTTGCTTTAAGCAAAATGGCTATGAAACACTGGATGGGTTTGTTGTGTCTCTTTCATTGGTCGCCTGTTCAGTTTTGAGCTGGAAAGACTGTGAGAACCATCTACATTTTAATTATAATGACTGATTAAAAGATTAGCGACTAGCCATAACTGCATGAACGTGGCACTGATTTCTCTTTGGCTGCAATGAAATTAAGTCGACATGGTGGCTCAGTGCACAGCCCTGTCCCCTCACCGAGGCTTGTGGGCTTGAATCCCTCTTCTGCTCCATGTGTGTAGAGTCTGCATGCTTGCTCAGTGTTGATTTGGTTTTTGTGGCTCCTCTGCTTTCCTGCAGTAATCCAAAGACATGCAGTAAAGTTAAATGGCGTCAATAAATTGGCCAAATTGTATGATTCTGAGTGTCAGTGTACGTGCCATGCAGTGGATGACCTGCCATTGAGGGTGTACTTCTGCCTCGTGCCCTTTGCACCCTGGGAAGGCTGCATGAAACCCCAAGGTGGGTCAGTGCTTCAAAGATGGATGGATGTGAAAATATTTACCAATTATTCTGGTCATATTTGTAGGAGCCATTGTTATAGAGTATAACATCAGGTACATGGATCAAGTCAGATTGAAGAAATCGATACATTCATAGCTGTTGAATGGACGTGGGTAGTTTTTATTTTATTTTTTTTAATTTTTTTTTTAGCAAGGATTGTAATACTACAGATATGTTTTTTCACTGTTAATTCTGGGTGATGCTGCCTTTTCTTGTCCTCCCTAGCCTATTTCATTTGTGGTAATTGTGGTAATTTTTATTCTTGGGGAATATCACTGCTAAAGCCTATAGAGTTATTGCACTTGTTTATTGTTTGATTTTGCTGACTTCATTAAGATTTTATATTCCCCCAGTGGAGCTGAATTTCAGGTGATTTTTTTTTAGCCTCTCTGAAGCTGAGAGGTGGGTTTGCTGCGCGGTTTCCTTTATTTAAATAATTAATGACTACATTCACCAAAGGAATTATTTTTCTGATTAAGGGATCTTGAGTGGAACAGTACCATGGTCCTGATTAATATTTCATAAGGCAAAACTCAGAAGTTTTGCTCTTGTTTCATTTGTTTTGTTGAACAGTCTGGGTGTCCAGTTGTACATTTTATTTTACCGGGAGTATCTTACTGAGATTATGGATTCCTTTTTTTCACGGAATGCCGGGTTAAGAAGGCAGGCAGATGTACATAAACGAAATGTCAGGGTTAACACCATTGACCTAAAGCATTTTACTATCTAGTAAAATATGATTTAAAACTTGAATTAACTTAAATACTGCAGCTAAAATCAGAAATTATTTGCAAATAAACCCAGTTTCTGAATATCTGACTTTCTTTGTATATTTACAGTATGTTGCAGACTAATGCAATTTACATTATATAGAACAATTCTGTATCACTACTAAACAGTAATTTACTGTACATTGGTATATTTCTACTGTATTATTATATTGTACTGTAATATCAGCCCCTTGCGGCAGGGATTCCCTCCCCAAGATGCAAAGGCAAACGAACCACATTTGTACTGTAGAACTATGAGAAAGCAAATTATATTTGATTCAGTGATTATATAGCCATAATACAGAAAGAGCAAAGGCGAGAAGGTGAAAGAAAATTGCAAAGTGGCTCAACAAAGTACAACAATAGATATCATCGTAATCATTATTTGCCATTACAGTCATTGTGCTACAGAACTGGAACTCCTGCCTCTGCTTCAAGCAAGTACGAATAAATAGCTTAAGTCAAAAGGCTAACATAAATACAATCAAACCCAACAGCCAACCTCTCTAACCTCAAATCACTCATTAACATTATAAACATGGGTTAAGGGTAAAAAATTAAAATAACTTTACATAGGGTTAAGAGCTAAGTGGAGCTAGACTACAGATCAGCCAATGAGACTACAAATTTACTTATTATTTTAGTATAAAATAATGTTAGGATTTTTTTTCACAAAAAATCTAAATTTTCAGTTGTACAACTGTACACCTTTTTAAGAGGTTAGCCACTTATATGTACACTAAATAATTAAATTTCATTTTAATTTAATTTAATTGATACTTTATTGATCCCCGTGGGGAAATTGTCTTCACGCCTCCCTCAACATGCTCTTTGTAGAGTAAGCTGTCTGTGAAGGGCAGCCACCTGTTGGGGCCCCCAGGGAGCTGGGGGTTAAGGGCCTTGCTCAAGGACCCGCAGACGTGCTGAGGCCGGGTTTGAATTGGCGACCAGGCTTAGTCCACTGAGCCGCATGCTACTAAAGTCGCAAGATTAGCTAGAAAATGACTGTATGGCAGGAGATTGCAATGCTAGCTGGCTATACGCCTGACACAATTATTACACAATCACCTGATCATGACTATATGAACCCGACTGCGATTATTTTTTGCATAATCGTTAGAATCCTCTCCATTCATCTGTATAAAAATAACTGGATGAGACAAAACTGGCATATTTCTCACTATTTCCATATCGTTTTGTACCATGTAATATTTGACTGGTGTTCAGTTAATGACATCATCTCCTTGCGCTTTTGAACTGACAAATACAACCTGCTGTATTTGTACCTCACACGTCTGTGCATGTGCAGCATTACGCTTCACGCAAATTTTACGGCGGTGCCCGATTTGTATCAGTTTCACAACACTTTCGTGACCCAGCCTGATTCCGTTAGTATTTCTTTTCACTACTTGAGGTTAATTTTACAGGCTGCTGGAGAACAATCCTCACCAGCCCAGCTGTATCTCCACTAGCCCAGAATATCAGCCAGATATTTTGATTTTGGATTCTTTGCGTTCTCTGTTTAATAAACAGCGTTTGTCATGAGAAAGAAGAAAGCCGATTCTACTAAAAATGCCAAGGCTAATGCTATCAAATCCACACAGTTTATTTTAATGCATTCCTAATTAAAATTTACTACATCAGCTACGGTCCGTCACACCACAACTCAGTACCTATGTGAACACGAGAGGCTAGAGCATACAGACTCCATGGAAGGAGTTATATGGGTCAGCAGTAAAACTTGCCAGGTCTGAGGCTGCATCGCTAATTCTGCACAGTCCTTAATGTGACAGTGCATTTTTATTATTGCTATTGAACCAGATGTTTTCTGCTAGCCAAGTTAGTTTACAGAATCCTAATGGATTTTAGTGTTGGTTGCTGGGAAAGGTGCTTTCGATAGTTTGCGAATGCTGCAGTTGTATTTCCC